CACAGTTGACGAACTACTAAAATTGGTGCACAGAACTACGGCCACAAAATGCGCGAACGAACGAACGGGATTCGAACGGCGAATCGAGAGTCAAGAAAGCGCCCGAGACCGAACGGACTGAACAAACAACGAGCACCAACAACCGATGCGGAACGAGTGATGATCGACTTCTCTGGACTTCTCGTCGGGAGGACAGCTCAGAGGCCGCCCGGTTTTTGGACCGTTGAGGCGTTGAGGGCAATGGCGAGACGTGAACGATCGATTTTCGATACTTCCCCGTTTGAAGCTATGGTAATGAATCGATTGTAAAGGTCTCCGTTGCGAACACCCTGTTTTTTGGGGCAAACTGAAAAATGAAGTTTTCTTTTTTGAAGAAATAAGAGAAATATGTTTGGTACCTAAGGTAAAGGCCATTTCTTTCTGTGATTCTTTCTCATGGAAGAGATGAAATAAGAACGGAAATTTTGAAACACCGCAATGGAGATACGTGGTTTCGCACTTCAGTCGGTGCGATACGGACATCCATCAAGTTCAAATAGTTGCATCAAGTCCCCGTCACCGATGACCAACGCGTCTGTCGATCGAATCAACTATACAGGTAGTATGAGAACGAAGTCAAAACGCCTTCAATTTTTTGAACGCAATACGGACATCCGTCGAGGTTGTATAGTTGTATCAAGGCGCCGTAGCAAACGCGTCCCATTGTTTATCGTTACAGACGAATGTAAGTTGAGAGAGAAAAGTCATAATGCCTTCCATTTTATACATATACACATTTTGGGGCAACATGGGAGACGACGTTTCTCCATTTGCGACGTTGCAGACTTCCTTAGAAATTTTATTTTTCTTTCGAGAAGCTGCTCAACATAAAACTTAAATTCTCCATGATTTTTCGTATTCGATAGCGGGAGATTTGGTTCAAAATTCAAATTCGTAAATTTGGATTCTTTCTCGTGGAAGAGATGAAATAAGAACGGAAATTTTGAAACACCGCAATGGAGATACGTGGTTTCGCACTTCAGTCGGTGCGATACGGACATCCATCAAGTTCAAATAGTTGCATCGAGTCCCCGTCACCGCCGACCAACGCGACCCCAATTTCGCGACACAAGCAACATAGGAACGTCCCCGTAATTTTTCCGTGTTTTTGACCTTCTGCCAGTCCCTCTCAAGAGCACTCAGACTCAGAGCCAGTGGCGTGGCGTGCTTTGCGATACATCGACTGATGTGCCATTTAAACCTACGGAAAAGGATCGATATTCGGGGTGTTCGCAACAAACACCTTAAGAATCGATTCTTTACCATAGCTTTAAATGGGGAAATATCGAAAATCGATCATTCACGCTACAACAAGGGCGCAATCCAAGGTAATGGGCCTTGAATAGATTACGCCTGGCGACTTCAGCCTTTTCTGCTTTCGTAAATTGATTGCTGCCGCTCGGTCCTCCCACAGGCATCATTTTTCGGCAATTTTTCGCTCCTATTCCTGCTGTGATATCGGTTTCCCCGGCCGATGTGTATACCGGGAAGTCTATTTTTGAAGCCCACAAATGAGGGGTAAAGATAAAAACAGCACATTATTTCTCTCGCTACAAATCAGTCACAATCCGTAAAAATATATTTGTTCTTCGGTTTCAAAAAAAAAAAAAAAAAAAATGTTGCAGATTGTGACTGACGGATGTTTCACGCAGGATTACATGCACATCGGGTTGATTGTTGGAATTGATAGACAAGGCGATAAACAAAGAAGACATAGCGAGTATGGAGCTATCCCATTGGTTGAAATGGGTAGTTCCGAGATGGTAGTTCCAATGGTAGACCAAGGAGGTGAATGAAGGACTAACTGAAGAGTCTCTCGTGGATTGCCGTGAGTTGGACTTCATTTTGCAATATGGAACTATGAATTCTGGCCCGGTTTAAAAACAACGTATGTGCCATTAGTTTCCCTATGCACATAAGTGTTTTTTTCAGATGAGCCAGAATTTATAGTTCCAAATTGCGTCGCAACCACCCGCCTCCACCAACAGGATCCCTCGTTAGCCATTTTGTCCTCTTTGTCTATAGCTTTGTCTATCAATTTCAACAATCAGCCCGATTTATCGCGAATAAATAAACCAAAACGTCTGGAGCCTACCCCTCACTGAAAAAAAAATCTCGGTGTATTTACTAAGAAAAGGGTAAAATTACCAAGAATTCAGGGTTGGTATTGGTTATTTTACCAAGAATCTCGGTAAAATTATTGAACTTTCTCGGTAATTTTACTGGACCTTGGTAAAAACGCCAATATTTTTTATCGACTGTGGTAGAATTACCGAGATAAAATGGCAAAGTTACCAGGAATTGATTACCAATAAAAGTGGTATTCTTACCTGAAAAAAACTGTAAAAATACTGGTTTTTAGGTAAGCTTACCAGTCCGTCTTGGTAAAATTACCAATAATTGGTAAAAAAAAGTGAGATGGTAAAGGTACCAACGAACCTTAGTAGAAACGCCGAGAATTTTTTTTTCAGTGTGATGAGTCGGAAAAAATTGGGGAATGTTGCCGCGGATTTTTTTTTCTCCCAGCCGAAATATCGCTCCCTTTCACTTTCAAGATACTTGTCGTAACTCGTTGTCACGATTAATGTTGTTCGTGATCAGAGTTTTTTTCAAAAACCTCGACACAAAATAACACTTATAGGAAAATATCAGGGGAAAATCGGGGGATTTTCATGCTCAAGATGTTCGGAAATTCGGGGAATATCTAAATCCAAGAAAACTTGTAAAACAGCGATGATCACAATAGGACTTGATACGCTTACGGAGTTACTTGCGTATTATTACAAAGTGGAATCCACTCTTTTAACGGAGTGTCATACGCTTTTAGGGTGCTGATTTCACTCCGCATTCATATCACCCGGGGTTTTCGGGCGGAATATACACTCCGACGCCGAATTTCACTCCTCGATTTTTAACAGCGTATTTTCCCGGGATACAGTTTTCGAGGCAAGAAGCTCACAAACGCCGATTAAGAAGTTACAGTGGACTCTCGATAATTCGAAATTGAAGAGAAACGGCTTTTTCTTCGAATTAGCGAGGTTTCGAAATAAAGAGAGTTCGCATTAAAGAGATTCCATGTGGAGAAATTTCGAAGTATAGAGAGGCTCGAATATAGAGGGGCAAATGGACGGATTTACGCCAAAAGGAACAAAAAATATTAGTTTATTTCCTTACGGAAGTAAAAATTACGGGGCTAAGTTAATATTACCTAATTATTAATTATTTATATTTAATTTTAAAATTATTAATTATTATTAATTACTGTACTCACACAAGAGTAACCTAAAATACTAGAGTTTTATTTTTGGAAGTAGTCTTCAGTTGACTTCGAATTGTAGAGGGCATGTGCCGTCTTATTTCGAATTATAGAGGGAAGACCATATTCACTTCCACACTTCGAATTACAGAGAGAATTTTCGTCGCAATTTCTAATTATAGAGGGCCGCGCCAGCTTAAAAATTTTGAATTAACGAGGGGAGAAAAATACATTGATTTTCTTCGAATTATCGACAGATTTTCAAGGGAAACAGACTTTCCTTCGAATTAACGAGGTTTTCGAATTATCGAGAGTCCACTGTATGAATTCATTTCAGATGTTCCGAATGTGCTTATCGCGATTTTCAGACCATTTTCTATTTAAGCGACTCATCTTTTCGCTGTCGCTCTATCAAAAGAATGCAACATACCCATTTAGGCACATAATTGCGGCGTCTCACAGTGGATCGAGTCAATGAGAGAGGTCGGACATGAAATTTTTACTAAAATTGCAAGTTTTGATGTTTATTTCATCACAATTCAAACTTCAAGGGGTGCTTCCGGAGGAAAATTTCACGAGGAAACCGATGGAACCACTTTTAGAAGAAACCTCAAAGTTTTGTATAGACGGAGTTATGAGCGTTTAAGGTGATTCGTCAACCTCAAGTGACGTGGTCGAACTGGCATGCGATATATCGCATCGATTAGGTCAAAAATCTCGGCAGATTTTGAATTTTTAGCCCAAAAAAAGGATGATAGCCCCTGCGCATGAGCCTAAAGAATCATTCTACACCCAAAAATCGGCAAAATTCACAGAAATGAAAGCAGAATAGTGTTTGGAAAAAACCTCGCATTCGATACAGACATCTATAGCTGAATCGAATGCGAGGTTTTTTCTAAACATTATTCTGCTTTCATTTCTCTGAGTTTTGCCGATTTTTTGGTTTAAAATGATTCTTAAGGCTCATGCGTAGGGGCTATCGTCCATTTTTTTTGCTAAAAATCCAATATCTGTCGAGATTTTTGACCTAATCGATACGATATATCGCACGCCAGTTCGACCACGTCACTTGAGCTTGACGAATCACCTTAATGGACCACTAGTCAAGGTACGAATTTAAGCATTCTGATACATGTAACTTAACCAGAATTTCACGCAGAACACGATTCGCGCAACGAAAATTACTGAAACCAACTCCTAACTGACATATTAACATTTTTATTTCACATTGGTTACGCGGACTTTGAACTGCCCGCTCACATGAGACTCAAAGCTCTACGTGAGTCAAATCGCGCACTACAACGGTTTCAGCAAGCTTCTCAATCGAGCAATGTTCATTTCCCACCATGTGTTTTTCAAACTATGAGTAATTCGCTATAGCTGAGCCAAAGTGTCAAGATTGAGGTTGCCAGATTTTTATGTCGCAGAGACTGTCATGATGACGTTTAGCGCGCGATGTGAATCACGTAGAGCACTGAGTTTTCATGAGCGGGTGGTTTCAATTCACGCACCAAGAATCATTAAATATCTTCGGAAAGAGTTGATTTCCGTGATTTTCGTTGTGCGCATCGTGTTTTATGTGAAATTTTGGTGAAGAAACATGTATCAGAATGCTGAAATTCGTACCTTGTCTAGTGGTCCATTTCCAAATTTCGTCCGACCTCTCTCATTGACTCGATCCACTGTGCGCCTGGCCAACGAATACCTGTCGCAATCAAGGCAGTCAGCTCCTGTCCACCAGTCCCTTTCCGAGCCCTGCGCAAGGGCACCTTTTCGTTGTTGGACATCGAGTGACTAGAGGGGCTCCTCCGACAGGTGTGAGAGACGGACAGGGTCAACACGGCGCTTGCCAGTGAGAGGATGCGACCCGCACAACTCGACCCGCGATCATCCTGACCCGCGCACGCCCAGACTTTGAATCCGTGCCGATTTTCCTTCACTAGACGATAACGCAACCCGCCGTGCTGGAGAAACGCTTCCCCGTTGTGTTTGTCGCCCATCCGAACGTCGGACCGAAACTGCGGCACTGAGAGTCGGGATTTTCGAGACCGAACGGCTGAGACTGTTCGACGTACACAAGACTTGAGTCCAAGTCACTGCTGCCGTAACAGCGAAGAGAGGGGTAAATGAAAAGATGAAGTTTCGAGAAAACGGGCTCGGAAGCTTCTGACCGAAAAATTTTAATAAAAGAAGCCTCCGTTCTTTGTCAAATTGCCACTGATCGTTCGAAAGACTCCTGAAAATCGTTCGGATGATTGTTTTTGACTGAAACTGTACATTTTAATGATTACTTCGTCACATTTTAAATTATGAGGGATGCTTTTAGAGAAAAATTTTGCGAGGAAACCAATGGAACCAATTTTGAAGCCTCAAAGTTTGTGTAACTGGAGTTATAAGCGTTTAAAGTTTCCAAATTTTGTCCGACCTCTCCTAGTGACTCTATCCACTGTGCGTCGCGCGTCGTCGCGTCGAAACCATACCGGAGCCACGAACTTTCCGGGTCGAACTAAGCGCGGGGCGAGTCTGAGGGTCGGCTGTTTCGCTTTTGGGGGAGAAAAAAATGCGACACAAAAGCGTGGCTGATAACACAACAGGACCGTTAAAATTGTGGTGCCGGTGTGCGTTTGCCGACGAGTCTAAGTTTACATAACGATAATTAATGGTTTATTCTGTCGATTGGGAGTGTATCCTCTCCGCGCGTTGTCAAATTGGAGGGAATGGATTCGATCGACATGAATCGATCGAAAAATGAAAACGAGAATCGTTCGACATGCATCGATCGAAAAATGAAAGCGAGAATCGTTCGACATGCATCGATCGACACCGTTTCGACCGACGAATTGTTAAAAAACCGGTGTCGATTCGATCGACATGAATCGATCGAAAAATGAAAACGAGAATCGATCGACAAATTATCAAAAAACCGGCGTCGATTCGCTTGACATGAGTCAATCGAAAAATGAAAACGAGAATCGATCGACACCAATTCGGTCGACAAATTACTGAAATACCGGTGTCGATTCGATCGACATGAATCGATCGACCAATTATTAAAAAACCGGCGTCGATTGAAATGAAAACGTGAATCGATTGACAAATTATTGAAAAACCGTGTCGATTCAATCGACATGAATCGATCGAAAAATGGAAACGAGAATCGATCGACAAATTATTAAAAAAACCGGTGTCGATTCGATCGACATGAATCGATCGAAAAGTGAAAACGTGAACCGATCGACATGAATCAATCGACACCGATTCGATCGACAGTTAATTTAAAAACATCCGCGTTGATTTGATCGACAAGAATGGATCGAAAATGAAAACGTGAGTCGATCGACGTGAACCAATTGACACCGATTCCGTCGACAAAATTCGCTCGATTCACGGGCATGTCGATCGACTCACGGGTTTGTCGATCCACTCTCGGAGTTTTCCATCCATTCACGGGTTTTTCGATCCATTCACCGGTTTGTCGAACGATTCACGGCTTTTGCCGATCGATTCACGGCTTTTGCCGATCGATTCACGGCTTTTGTCGATCGGTTCACGGGTTCGTCGATGTCAAATTTGCCGTCTTCCTTGACGCGCGCGGGATCATAAGACTCTTAAGACCATAAGACCGCTAAGAAATCTTTTTCCCACGTGAATTCCACGAATAACTGATTAATTTTTGGTCATTGATTGAGTTATCGATTGTGCAACGCTTACGCTTAAAAAAATCAACTATGACATAGTTCGATGAAATGATGACTATGAGCGTTTTTAATCACTTCGCGTCTTATTGTCACTTATTTATTTATCTTATCGCTCGGTGCATTTTCGGAACAGGTCTCTCAGCTTCTGATGTTGGGTAAATTCGCTCCCTGTGGTTTTACTTCCTACCTTTGGGTACAGTGCATTATAAAGTAAATTTGAAATCTTCGGACCCCCCCCCCCCAAAAAAAAAAAAAAAAAAAATCGCAATGAAATATTAAGCCAATTTTTCTATTTTAAATTAGCTTCTGACTGGTCAAGAGTTCTGATGAAATTGAAAAATCTTGATTCCGGTTTCCAGGTCCCGGTTTCCGGTCCCACTGAAAAATCTGGTTGCCAGACCATGAAAAATTATTTTTTTCGTGCTTTTAAAATAGAAAATACTTTGGAATCCTGAGATTTTGGCTTTTCTTTTTTTCCCCTCTTTCCAGAGCAAATTCTTCAGAAATTGGGAATAAAATATGGCCCAGAAAGTTTCAGATGCTTGTTTATAGAAAATTGGCTCGGCAAAAAATTACCCTTTTCCCGAGGATTTTCCAAAATTTTGAGACACTAAAAGATTTGATTTGATTCCAATAAAAAGACATTTTTTCCCAATAAAAAAGACTGTCAAATATTGAAAAAATTGGAATACCTAGAAGGTATAACAAAATAATTGTGATAATGTTACAATGTAATGCAACATTTTAGTTACAAAATACTACTTGAGTGAAGTTGAATGTGTATTCGAAATGGACCGAGTTTCACAGAACTAAGTCACATAAAAAGTGAACCAAGCTTCATGCCTCCATAAGATTGAGGTCTACCTAAGAAGGGATGAAGTTCAACACTTATTTTACTAAATAAATGTGTAGCTCGTAAGCAAAATAGTGAATTATTCTGCAATCAGCTTATGCATAGGTGCATGGCAATTGAAAGTAGGCTACGATAGTACTAGAGCTCGCGCATCGTATGTTGAGACAGATGTCAATCTCTGATTAGCTCTGAATTTGCACCACTCAACAGGGTAATACATGTAGTCAGGTGGCACCACTGGTAAATGGTGACGTAAGCAATACTTTGATGTTTGTCTCAACTTACGATGCACAAGCTCTAGAGGAGAGAGACCTTAAATTTTCATGGAAAAGAACCACAAGTTTTTGAATAGTTGTAGTCCTTCCGTTGCAAAGGCATTGGCGAAGTTCCTAACAAAATTATTGTTTTTAACGATCATATTTCCTGCTCTCCCTATCATGATCTAGACACCAAAGTTAGTTGTTGCACAGAACCCTGCCGGATCCGATGCGTATATTCCACCCCATCCATCTGAAGCAGGATGTAGAGTGTGATCTTCCTAATGGGAACTGCCAAGTTTATTGCACAATTTCTTACATCAAGCGCAAACTGATTTCATTTTTGAATCGCAATGTATCTGACCTTAGTCGTTGGGTTTTTGATCAACTGATCAAGAGAGGAGTTGATAGCATCCGTCACGGGTTGCTTCCGGATGGATAATCCAATACTTTGAATCAAGACAAAACAAAAGGCATGATCATATGACTTACCTTCCATGGCTGAAAATTAGTGTCCAGAGAAATTCGTGAGAGCAAGGTAAAGTTTGATGTTCAGAAAACTGGATGAGTAACAACCCTGGATGACTAGAGATACAATTCAGGTACTAATGTGACGAAAAGAGATTTAGGGGCCAGTTATTCTACACTAAATTCACTAACGCTTTGGTAAAAAATGCAAGAAAAACTTATTGTACAATTGAACACAAATTGGGAATATGTAAAAAAAAATCGCGACAGTCGTGTCACTTGTGGATTGTTTATTTTGAGGTTAGATAAGTGTTTTTGTTATGAGTGTTTCTGGTTTATGATTGGTCAGTTGATTTGCATTTTTCAGACGCGGGAAGTTCAAAGTTGCGCTCCAGGGCTTGTTACTTTCCCGTGACTGTGTACGTACAACGAAAAAATTAGGGGCAAAGAGAAGAGTTTCTTGGAAGTTGAGGCAAGTAGTGTCATTAATCCGAAAGGACGACTTGAAAACGTTCGATCTTTCAAGTTAACATGCAAATGTGATGTGGAAAGATGCATAGTGTCATTTTTAGCTCCTCCACCCCCCCCCCCCGGGTTTTCTAGGCCAACAACGGTGAGGGGGGAGTATTACTGATTATTGACTACAGGCTCAGTGAAATTGTTATTAATTTTTAAGTGCAGCAGCTGTGGTGTGTTTTTTTTGTTCCTGATTCAGTTTTGCAGATGAACAGTCACTTTGAAAGTTTGGGATCTGTAGAAAGATAATTTCCCTCGACGGTTGCACAGTTGATTTTTTCTTTTTTTTCTTCTTTTTGACAGCTGATCACGTGGCAAAAAAAATTGTGTTGTGGTGCTTGATCATTATTCAATTTTGTCTTCGGAAGACCAACTCCCACTCAACCTTTAGCAGCTGAAGGGTACTCTGCTGTGCTAAGGAAGAACGCCGTATGAACATTCAAAGGTTGCCAAATTTCCTTCGATAAAATGTTTCTTTTTGCGGAAGGATGTGAATATTTTTCCTTGAACTTTTCAGGAGCTTCAGGTAAAATTGCGAACAAAATTATCTGAAAAATTGGAAGGAAAATATTCATAAGTTTACCAGGAAATTCGTGTTTTATTTAAGGAAATATGGCATCGCCTGGAAGTTCATGCGGCGTTCTTACTTAGCACGGCAGTGCTCTCCTTTCCGCAATGTCCATTTTTTCCTCCACCCAAAATCAATCGATAAACATATTCCTCCATTTCATAGCATAATTTATTGGAGGTTGTTAAAATGTACGCCTCTCTTCAATCTCATCAATTTTTTTGGAACTGCAAACTTTACATCAGAATGACTCGGGTGTTGCAGATGAGGCAATCGATTTTCGATTTCGAACCATTAATGCTTTTCTTCCATAGGAATATCAGACTGATAGGGAATAAGACAGGAGTATCACAAAATTTTAAAATTTTAGGTCCTAAAACATACTTATCAGCAACAGGGCAATAAGATTGAGGACACCGCACCAAGAACAGCCTTTAACTTGGAACCGCGTTTTGAGAAAAACGCATTTAAAGTTTTGTTCTTGATGTACTGCGCAGACTTTTCTATGCAGGTACCCTGTTTTGGTGTTTTTGGGTGACCTAACCCTTCTATTGAAGGACGCCGGGTAGATTTTGCGATACATTTTGGGTTTACACTCTAATATAATTAATTTTAAAAAGTGGTTTATAGGCCATTATTACACCCAACAGTCATTTTGGTGGCAATATGAAGTATAAATCATTTTCATCACGCATGATTAACGCAAAATGAAAGAATATCGATAGTGAGTAAAGCAAGGGGTAACTAGCACCTTATAGGCCCTTAAGTTGATAAGCCCGCTTATAGGCCGTTCTTGCACCCATCGATCCAGTGGCCTGACTTAACTCGGAAAAAAAAA